AAGTTCAATAAGAGCATGACACGTGGCATTCAGGTTTTCTTCTTTTCTTATTTTAACTCCATTTCATGATAACTTTTGTTTTAATATAAATATTAATGATTTTTGTTTTAATATAAATATTAAAGATTAAAATAAATATTAATAATAATTTGTTAATAATATAAATGGTTTAATAATAATAATGTAATAATAATAATATAAATAATAATAATATTAATATATTAATTAGTAACTAATTTAAAAAAAAAAAAGAAAATAGAAAAAGATTAAGAAAATAGAAAAGAAATAGAAAACGAAAAGAAATAGAAGAATAAAGTTGGGACAGAGGAGGCTTACAAGCCTACAGAGTCGGAAGTCGATGATAGAGGTTAATCATTACAAGCACTCTTAAGCGCGGGCAAAAAAGAAGCAACAAGATGCTTACTAAAGGTGGTACATAAAGGAATATCCTTTAAGGCATTTCGGGAATCGGTCTGATTCTATCTCTGTTTGTTCCCGGAAGGATCCCAAAGAATCGATCTCTCTTTTAGTTGTTGAATCTCTCTTTGATTGATCAATGTGTGATATTCCGAATCCTCATTACTAATGGAATCGAAATTATCTCTGGATTGATCAGAAGATCCTTTCTATCTACTCCGACTGAGAGATGGCCCCTTTGCGGTCGTGAAAGCCAATGCTGAACCCTTGCCGGCTTAATAGATCCAGGATGTGCCTTCTACTCCTGGAGACCCTTGACTCTCAACGAGAGGGATCGCACCCCTTTAGCCCTTTCCTAAACTAAAGCTCTTCTCAACTACGAGCCGGAGGGGGGGTACCCAAACAGAGCTCCTCAGCGGCACCTTCGAAGAGAAGCTCTTCCCGATCTTGATCTTTCTACCGATCTTTATCCTTAAACTTATTCTTACAAAAACCTATCCACCTTCAATAACCCACCTACCACATAAGTACCAGATGGGAGGCAAGCCCCCGCCAAGAGGAGAACACTCCCAATACGAACCAAAGCTAGAGAGGATTAAGTCGAGAATGGATAGAGGAGCATGATTGCAAAACCATTTAATCTTAAGGGCTCTAGAGAGCTCTAAGACCACAATTAGAGGATTGCTAACGCTCGGACATTACGGAGACTTTAAACAGGTCTGAAGCAGGAGTAAAGATTGGCAATGAGGACGAATTAGATAACTGCTCAACAAAGAAGAAAGCAAGACCAAGCCAAACTCTCTGGTAAGTAACCCCACTCTCGGATAAACCGCTTCTTCGCCTAAAAGAATACATCGGAGAAGAGCATGCTGATTGAAAGAATCACATGATTAGATCGGAAACCAGAATCAAAGAAATACTACCTCGAACTCCCGCACTGGAAATCTACCGATTCACACTCCAACGTCTATTTCACTCCAAAATTTGTCGATTCATAGCTTCACCAATCGTACGCTTATTGAACTAGACCAATTTTAGCTTAGGCTTTGAACTAGACCGACCCATCCGCCGCTTCTCACTTCCATTCCTCTCCCTTACAATCGCTCACCTTCTTCTTTCTTTGCTTGCAGAGAGGGAAGGTTCTATTTGCTCGGTTGCATGTCATGACTTTATGAGCTTCTTTCCTTATATCCTTTACTTGCCGAGCTGACCCCCTTATATCGGAGCACGTACCTGCCTGTCTACTATTAGACAGGAGCTCACTTTAACGAAGACTCTTTTCAAAAGAATCGCTTTAACCCTTCGCCGGTCTTGCTTGCTTTGAAGAGAACACCTACTGTTCGTTAACAGTTCCTTCTCCCCTCGTTTGAATAGGAATTCTGATATGAGAACCTCATTCTTCTCAATAGCCCGCCCATGAAAACCTAGTTTGAAGAGAACACATGCTATTCTCACCCTAGACCAGTCATTCAGTCAACTAAATCTTTTCGTTCCATCGATGAGAGCGAAATGCCAGTACAGCGAAACTGACGTTAGACAGGTGTGTGAGACTGGTATGCCAGTTTCCATCTTGTTTTTGTCGGGGGTTTTGGCAGAATTGGGTTCTACTCCCATAGCCCCTTTTGTTGCGGCATTCCCCCAAGGAAAGAAAGATAAAGACGGGATATGCGATTTAAAACTTGTCGTCTACTTTCAGGAAATGTTCGGAACAGAGAACTTACAATAATACAACGCCGCATTCTCCGAAGATTGAGGAACAAGAAGAGATCTATTAAGAGAAAGATTTATCCGAGAGAAAATCTTAACAGTTACATCCAATCACAAACTACACGAAAGTTGCCCCTTTTTCATGGGGATTTACCCATCACAGAGATGCACAGAGGAACAGAACGAACTTCATATATCCCTTTTCTACTCAATCCAGAAACAAGATCGGACGTTATTCCGGTTCGTCTCCATTTTCGTGAAACTATTCCTCAAGCAAGGCAGCCGACAAGTCATCGAAGGGTTTGTGTGAATAATCGAATGGTAAGCATTACTCGTTTGAAAGTTTCCCACGGTGATCTAATATCTTTTCAAGAAAATGACGCGAGAATCCGCGGTGAAGAAATAAGGAGATCTTTCTATATCGAAATATCAGTTGATAAAATCATAGGAAAATTCCTGGATCACCCGGTAAGAATGTGGAGAAGAACCAAAACAGAATGGTTCCACCTACTCAAAACTAAGCGGGGATGCCGCCTACTACTAAAATCCCGGTTTTTGCAACAACAGTTGCGTTATTCTATGCAAGAAGAGGACTTTGAAAGAACAAAGAAGTTTGGATCCGAAAAAGTATGCTTAGGCAGTTCCTTCGCTGAGCACAACAGAATGAAGAGGAATTTGTATCATTTCAAATCCCTATTCTTATCGAAGAGAAGAAACGAGAAAAACCGATATCTTCCTACTCGAACAAGAAGTCCTATAGTTTACAACTCTTCTTTATATAGTAATTCGACCTATTGCTCCTCATCCCCCCATCAGTTTACTATGAAGAGAAGAATCAAAAGGATCGAACTACCTACTCATTATTCGGAGGTGAATCATAGAACACCAAAAGCGGTGGTATTTTATGGACCTAACATAGGTCACATCCCTCACGACATAAGATTGAAAGATCCAAACCTTCCTCTTCGGAGCGGAAACGGACGTGGCCAAAACATATAAAGATCAGCGTAGTCGCTCATAGGGACATATCTATCCGGATAGAGGATAGTCTAGATCGATTCATAGATAGATTTCTATCCATATAGATAGGTATCTCCGTGGATAGAGATAAAGATAGGGATCCATCTAGATCTTGCTTGATTCACTATTTCCATTTTTTTTCTTGATTCTGATTGATTGCCTTTTTGACGACAAGTTTTAAATCTTAATGCAGGCAAGGTACGTAGTTCTCGACCGTAAGGGAGAAGGAAAGATTTTAAATTCTTACTTGCTGGGTCGGAGCGTAGACGAGCGAGCAGAGCCCAGGATACAGGGAAGCCCGTCATAGAGCAGTCGACTAGAAGTAGAAGACTGCTGGCCTGAGAGAAGGCGGCCTCCCTCGGGAAACATGGCCCAATTTTTCTTCTTTCTTTTTTGATTACCTTCTTTTAAGAAAAGTTAAGGATTATGCACGTGGAATACTCCTTTCCATTTCTTCTTTCTTTTCTTTAAGGGAGCTGTTCCAGAAGTTGCACTTTCTTTCGATGTTGGTCCAGGCCCCCTATCCATTGGCATTGAAGTAGGCAAGGCCAATCCATCTGTTAAGTCAGCTGGTTCTAGGTCAAAAGCTAGTGTAAAATATGTCTTTCTCGTCCTAAGCCCTAAAAGTGCTTCCGCCTTACCTGGAGTTGAAGTTACCGTTGGAGGCCTTTGAGTTCCAGTCTCAGTAGTGGTCTTCCCTATATGTACAGGGGAGTAGTTAGTTGCGAGTGTCAGATAAGATAAAAGTGCTTTAAAATAGGATAAAGATGAATTTGACCATCCCAAGGGAAAATGAATGGGAAGGGGGCGTCTTAGCTACTCTTCAGGCTAATTATAAGAATAGGATGACTTACCTTTACTGTAAGGCTTTTTGGAAGCCTGCTCCGAGTAAACTCGCGATTCTTTCTTTTAGGCGGACAATTCTCTATATCGACTATCTCGAGGAGGGAATTCCTTAAGACTACCACTGCCTCCGCCGCTGCTGCAGTATCCTCATCAGATACAGATTCAGATACTACTCTTTGCGACATATGTTTAACTAGCCTTCGGGTGGAAAAAGATTAGCAGTTAAAGAAGCCGCATCCAAAGCAATGAAATTGTGTTGCGGAAATGAGTATACTATTGTTTGTGGTAAATTTACTGGTATTCAATCAATTAGGTAACTCTTAGCAAGTGCTACGGGTGCTTCGTACTATATAGAAGTCTTGGAATTTTGCCTCTTCTTTATATCATATAACAATTTTTTTTGACGATTCTGCTAATCCTTATGCTCTAACTAGTCTTAAAATTCTTTAAATTACAGGAAGAAACCTAAGAAATAACTTCAAAAGAAAGAAAGGGAAATAATAGGGTTTTATTTATCCTTACACTATTTGATCAAGGAGAAGGCGGGGGACCTGTAAAGCATCAACCATTTAAACGGATCCATCTTTTCTTAGTCCGATTCTTATATGTTGGGTGCCTCTTCCTCTTCCGCAGATTCGGATTAGTGACTAGGGACCTAGCTAGGCTCCTTGTCTTTACCCCAGAGATCTCCCTGCCCTTTCGATCTTACTTATTGACTTATTCTCTAATCCACCTATGGGCATATTCCTTCCACTGGGGTTGCTTCATTCTGACCTATCTCAACAAGCCCATCTAAGAGCCTATTGAAATTCAATCAATGGCACAGCGTCCGATTCGATCACTCTATCGAGTAGAAGTACAGGGATGATTCAATCGATTCCTAAGACCTTGAAGGGCGAAAGCCCAATCGAACATCAATCACTTCACGGACGCTATTGATTGAGTAGCCAACCCCAAAACGCAAGAATCAAGGGGAGCGGAAAGAAGCTTCACCGATTCCGACTCTAATC